CATTTTTAGTGGAGGGGATGGTAGTTTCCGTAGCATTGAGAAGTCACAACATTGACAGATTGAGAGCATAGGACTTTAATTTGCCCTTTAGAATGTGGGGTTTATTGTTCTCAACCCTCAAAGTAATTGCTTTTAGTGCAAACCTGAAAAGACTAGACAGCAGCAGTTATATGAGGTTCTTACTAAATTAGTCATCAAAAATAAATAACACTTGCAATTTCTTGTTCTCTTTCTAGTGCATGAAAACTTGTTCTGGCAGCCTGTCATCTGGCAGAATTAAGTGTGGGCTAATGGTGGTGTTGTGACTAATACACAGAAATATCAGCCAGTAGCTAAATAATTGCAAAGCACAATATTTGTGCATCTGTGACACATGTATCATAGTTTTTTACACTGAGTGACATGCAGCTTGACGTGATGGATTTTTCAAAATATGAGCATTAGATGAAATGCCCACAGTAGAATAGATAATCTGTTTAAACCCACTGTGTGGTCAGTGAAGAACATAGTAGACAAACTATGATCCTCCTGGAGTGCATAAAAGCATTTCTGTTGCTGCTGTGGTATTTACACAGCACAAATAACTGCATTTGCAGTAATGTGATAAAGACATCACTCATCAACTCAGCTCCTCTGAAGGTGTTAGTCTGCTCTGCATTTTAGTATTGATTTGTGAAAAACAATGACTGATGGGGCTGTTGAAACCAAGATAAGATAAAGCATAAGAGCATATAATGACATTTTAAAAGTCAGCATTTAATTGAATGTTAGATAAAAGTAGATAGCTCCCTCTCACCTCATGATGCCTCTTTGTCCACATTTACATTGCATATCTTGAGATTTTAGACTTGACTCTGCATTGTTTTCCAACAGCTGAAGACCTTTATTTGCAGGATTGATGGTTTCATGGGTGCATGCGGACATTAAAAACGAATGATCTGGGTAAAGTTGTTTGCATAATCACTTTTGAGGAGGGTTTGCATAAAAAACTTTGTGTTGGAAAAAATGCTGTGGAACCTAGTGAAGCATACTGTTCTACAAAGCTTGGACTGAAAAGCAAACGTGCCAAAATACCCATTTGCAACCAATTTGGAAGAATTGCCAGAGTTCTAAAGACTGAGGCCAGACCTTGGTTTTATTAATTATTCTCTTTAAAATCCTAGTAGAAAAACAAATGAAAATGTTTGTCATCAGAGAGTGTTTTTTATTTCATAGGTGAAAAGGTAATTCATATCTTGAAATCACCCAGGTGCAATAGTAATAACTTGCTGTTGCAACTCGAAGTTGAATACCAGGAGAGTGTAAAATTCATCAGTTTTAGACTTGGCTATAAATATGACTTTGGGTCCTCAGCCTGAGCCTTCAGTAACAAAAGCATTGAGAATGCAGATTTATTAGGATCGCTGAAATGTGAAAAGGAAGACATGCAACTTGTGTACCTTGTCAGCAGTAGTAATGTAATTACAGCCTTAAATGTGTGTGTAGGGATATCCTTGGATGCATTTTTGTCAGGATCAACAAAGGCTTTTCACAAATGACTGGAATCTCTCTTGCACCCCTGTGCCAACAGCCTGGGGCAGCGTCCTGTCCCCTCTCACACCTCTGCTCTTGCAGCCAGCTGTTACTTTATCTTGCTTGAAGGCTGCTCAGGCTTCATCTTCTAATGAATTTCTCCCCTCTTCCAGCACCCCTAGGGGTCCTGTTTAACAGTGCTGCTCCTATGGCTGCTGGAAACCCTTTTCTCAGTTTTCCTGTTTAAATTTATATCTGAACTCTGTTTACCACGGTGCTACACACATGAGTTTGTAGGTTGTTGCTGGCTGGAGTCTTGTGCAGGATTTCATTTTACCTCAGTGTTCTTCCTTACGTTTACTATAAATTCCATACTTTGTATGTCTTAACAGTGAAATTGCTGTCTTTTATTCATCCTGTCACTGACTACAAGAACCAACTCTCTTCCTCTGCTGTCACTTGCTGTTGCTGGGACTCCTCTTAGGGAGGTTATCTACACTTTATGTCAGAGCCCTAAATACTTAATCTTAAAGAATACTTTCAGCTTCCTTCCATGATTCTTAACTGCAGTCCTCAAGCTCTGCTATTTACCCTGGGCAAAATTTCTGATTATTGATGATAACATCCTATTTTGTGTCGCAAGCCCTCATAGTTCACACCTGTTCAAACAATCATCAAACATTCCTATTGAATATCTATGTGTTTGCAAATGGATATTCATAAAAGCAGTTGCATGTGTGTCTCAGGTATTTAATAAATAATGAATCATAAGAGCAACATGAAAATTACATAAAACAGCTTTCAAGGAGAGAAAACAATTAAGTAACTACATCTGTTGTTCTCATTATTATGGGGGTGGGTTTTTTTTCAGTTTTCAATGCTTTGCATCTGAAAATGATGATAGTTTATGGTTTGTGATTCAAAGTTAGATAAATCAAGTTTCTTTCTTCTTGAACTTTTGTCCTTAATCTTTAATAAGGTTTGGGTTTTTTTCTGAATTCTGTAGTAGCAATAATTCATAACCTGGAAGATCTGGACTTTGGAGAGAAGAGAGTTTCCACAAGAATTTAATGAAAGTGCACTCTGGAAAAATGGACTCTCTGCAAGGAACTTCTCATCCCAGTCAGAAATAAATTTTATTAACCTGAAAAGAGTGTATGCATTGTTAAAAAAAAAAAAAAAAGTTTTCTGACAACATGTATAGCAGGAGGGGTTCAGGTGAGCACACTTGCACTTAAGAGCCATCACTCTGCAGATGAGTAGAGTTGGAGAGGGAATCCCTGTGCCAGTGCAGCTGGAAAGAGATCTTGTGCAGTTTTGGAAGTGCCAGATCAGATTAATAGAATGATGATTTTGTCTTTGGAAAGCTTTCCTGAGACTGTTGTTTATAGGTGTCTTATACCAGAGTAATTTTGCTGACTCTTTTCTTCTAAGGTTTCCATGATGAGGCTGGTAGTATTTACACAGCTCAACTTCACAGAAAAATAGTATTAATGGAATGCTACAAAACTCTCTCAATACCCCTAAAATAATCTTTTTGTAAATATAAGCAGTTTGTTGTGGGGTGGTAATGGTGTAAAGCTCTTGTGGATATCACCTAGAATTCACTTACAAATAATGTGACTGTCTCAAAATGATTAACCATTCTACCCTCTCCCAACATTTTGTATTCCATGTTTTATAGAAGAAAGAAACCCTATACTGGAAATGTGGGATTGTCAGAGATTCCCAAGTTATCTGGTCACCCAGGAAGAAATGGTACTCTGCTGTCCTGAATCCAGCTTTATGATCACTGGGGGAAAAAAATTTGTAACTTATAAAATTTGTAATTTATAAAAACCTAAGAATGACTATATATATATATATATATAAATAGTAACCCAAGTATAGTGTAGCTGTAAAAGAAAGTGACTTTTTTTTCCTATAAACTGAATCAAGGCTATTACCTGCCTTAGGGCCCTGGTCAGTCTAATCCTGAGAAGCTGAAGTTTTAAAACTCTGTTTTAATAACCTACTGTTATTGGTCCTCTAATAAGTGTCTGTATGTCTTTCAATTCAAGTGAGTTTGTGATTTTTTTTTTTATTGCAGGGATATCCACCCACAGCCAAATCTCATTTTACTTTGACTCTGCAAATTTTTCAAACTAGTTTTGTATGGTAACAGCCTTTGGATACTGTGGAGTTCTTACCACGTCTAATTCCAGGTTTAAAATGGAGAGTTCACAACACTGGTAGTCTTTGCCTGAAAATAAGATGTTCCTTTTCCCACTTCACCAGTGTAGCACCATGCTCTTCTTCACCCCAAAAATGGGTTGCCTGTTTTCTTGAGGAAGTTTAACTGTCTTTTATTTTTGCCAACTTGTGCACCAGCTTGGGGTTCTTTATTTCTTACAGGGTTACCTCACAGTTCTTTCCCAAATGATACAAATGCATGGAGGTGGACTTACTCAGTTTAATATATTTAGTATAATGACTGTGCTATGGACCCAGAAACAAAATGACAGATCCCTACAGTGCCCCTCACAACAGATCTTTGTATATACTTTGACAGTAAAAATATGAAGGTGAGAATATAAAGCAATTCTGGATTAAAAAAAAAAATTATATTTGACTTGTTTGATAATTGGGTAAAAGTAATGACAGGGTTTCTTTCTGTCTTTTGTTAAGGTTATCTGATAGTCCTGCTCTTGGCATGTTTCTCTTGGCACATCAGTCTCAAGCTGATAGATCATTCAGTAGTAGATCTCTCCCCACTTATGTAGAATTTGGTTCTATGCATTTTTTGTTCTTAAAAATGTGGATTTACTTGATAAAGGGAAATTTCTTGAGTGCCCTATTGCATTGGCAGAACCAATATTATGCTTTATATTGTTCATAATTCTGGAAGTTTTTGTGTGCTTCATTGTGCATTGTTTTTTTTAAATATAAGTAAATTTAGCTTTTAATGGTTTATTTATTGTCTTTTATAAAGTCATGGTCCTTTTGATTTTCTTACTATGTTATTTATGATAAAGTGTCAGAATTCTGCATAAACCCCCTTTCTTTTAATAATATTTTTTGGTAAATGGGAAGGAGTAAATAAATCTGAAGACCTTGATTGTATTGCTCTTGTCACAAATTCCCAGACTCTCAGAATTTAATGGCACTTTAGTTGAGTAGGAGGAACAGACAGTGACAAATGAAATAATGCCATGTATAAAACCAGCAAATTATGGCCACTTAATTTTTTCTGTAGTGCAGGAACTTGTGCTGCTTGATGGAATTGATAAGTGACACTTTCAAAACCCATTTTTGTCATGTAAAGGTTTCTTGTAAGACACGTAAGTCCTTTAAGTGTCTTGCAGCAACAACACAACATTTAAACACAAAGTTTAGTAAGTGCTGGAAGGGGACTGGTTTTTGTTTGTCAGATGTTATCTTAGCTTGATACAAGCACCAAAGTTACAAACCATAAAGGAAAATAACCCATTTCTGCATTTTTTCTGCAGACACCTGAGGAGCTTGAAGATGTGTCTGACCTTGAAGAAGACCACGATGCATGCAGTCGTACCAGTATCCAGACTGAAGGGAAGACTGACAGGGTAAGTATCACACCAGTTGATGCACAAAGCACTGTGGCTGGGGAAAATGCTACTGTTACTGTTCCTGTGAAGCCACTTAAAGTCATCCAGTGAATCACTATAATCTTCTTCAGCTCTTAATAGATCTCTGAAAGTGTGTGGAGGACATAAAGCTGATGTACATGACCTGAAACAGAAAAAGACTGCAATTAAGTTGGAAATACTTTGTGAATGTACAATTAAACCGAAAATTGCTTACACTTAACTGAACAAAATTCCAACAGGTTACAGTTTCATAAATGTGGCTTGGTCTAATAGAGGCTGGGTTAATAAGGAATGGTTTTTACAAGGGTCTTACTGAACCTTGCGGTGTGTGTTAAACAAAAATAACCTCTGCATATGAGAGACTTCGTGTGCACAGAAGAGAAAGGGGTATATCTGGAATCTGAGCCACTGCAGTATGTGAGTTGCAGACATTTCCTGCTGTGTTCATGTGTGTACCTCTTCTGTAGTTTATTGCTTAGATAGGGAATTCATGAGGAAGTATGAAGAACTTCCTATAGCATTTGACAATTTCTCTATTTCTGGAAGTTTGGAATCTGGTATTCCTGTTGTAGCATCATTTAACCTGAGGACTTCACTACGTTTCTGAGTTTTGTTTATTGTTTACACTAAAACATTTTTAAAAATCAAAGTATTTACAAACATTCATCTTCTTTGTGTTTCCATTTTAAATAATGTTTCAGCAAAACTCTCTGTTTTCTATTCACAACTTTCTGACATGGAAAGATCCATGGGGCCAGAAATGGGGCCTTCATTACTTTTTTGCTCAGTACCTAGAGCAGCAATAGATCTCTCACTCTTGATTGATTCTAGTATTACTCCTGTAATGGAAATTATAAATGATAGGAGTAGTTGGGAAAAAGGCAAACTTTTAAGTATGGAAAGAATTATGTCAAAAAATGGTGGTTTAATTCATGTCTGCTTCTTAATAAACACATTCAACAAATATTTTCTTTATTAACACCCCAAATACTAATGAAAAAACACTAACCAAAATGAATGCAGTTCACTTGTGTTGCACATGTGAATACCATTTGTTAATTAACTCAGTTAATTCTTAAAACACAGTGAGAAATGTAATAACTATATGAAAGACCACCTCATAGCGTCTTATTTTTCAATAAACTTAATGGGCAATTAAAATATACTAGCTGCCCTTTGCAATTTAAATTAATCTTTGTAAATGTTAGCACATTTTCCTCACATTAAAGGCTAACATTTGTATTGCAGTTAAGAAAGGCAGGGTTTTCCATCAAAATGTCATCCATACAGAATGTCATGAATTTTTTTGGAACAGGTACAGAGGATGTGCTTGCATATTTTCATAAATATCCCATAATGAATGCAGATGAAGATTTTCTCATACTGGGAAAATAGAAGTACTACTTTGTAGATATTTACTATCAAAATGTAGTAACAAAAGATCCACTAAAGCTTTGAAAGATCACATTTTCATGCATGGTCTTCTGCTTCTCAGATAAAACAGTGTAGTTTTTCAAAGGGAATGCTTTTTTTGAAAAGAAGCACCATAAATAAGACATTCCAGACAGCTACACAAAGCAAGAAGTAAGTGCTGAAGACAGTTGTAGGTAGGGAAATAATATAATAAATATATATATATAAAATGTAATATAAAATAATACAATTGCTGTAAATGTTCCTTTTTGTGGGTTCTAGAAAGAAGTAATAGTTTAAAGCCTTATTCTCTATCTTGGAAAAAGTTTTCCTAAATTTCTGAGCTATCAGGGCCATAAGTGGCACATTACCTCCCAAAATAATAGAAAATTACAACTTTGACTAAATTACATACATACCCACTCAGCCTAAATCAACATATTGACAGAGAAACCTGCATACACTTTTTTTTTTAACAGATGTTTGAACAAATCCTTTTGCTGCTGCAGCAAATAAAAGAACAATGATTTCAAGCCTCTTTATTTGGACTACTATTTGATATTGATATTCGAAGATTTATATCTAGAACCTGTTTAGCAATATGAAGAGTCTGTATAGGGAAGATAGATTTTAAGGCTTAGACAGAGTTTGCGCTATTTTGTGTTGCGCAACAGATTTCTGTGCTGTTGGGAGGCTGTTCCATGTAGTGCTGACACCAGGAATGACTGTGTTCCAGAAGGGGTTTGGCAGGATTGTGGACTAACCTTTTTTCTCCTTGAGTTCTTTCTCTTGGGTATTTCAACTATGATAATTCAATTTTATTTATACATAGCTGGCTCCATACTAGTTCTGCATAACAGCACTCTTGATTCCTCTTGCTTTGTCAAGAGTGTTGTAATATCTTTTATGTCACATCTCTCACTGCTCCAACAGGGAACTAGTGCCCTTTTTTTTTTCTGTTTTAATCACAACATATAAAACCAGATGTGATGTGTGTATGCCACTCGTAACAAAAGCTACATCTTAACTAGCAAATCTCATTTCCCTTATGCAGGAAACAGTCATGTATTATTAATCACACCTTCTTCAGGATCTATCTCTATAAAGACAGAGTATAGGTTCGTGGGTGAGATAGCAGAATTGAGATTTGACCTTGTATTTATGTACCTGACTCATCTTGGAAATGTTACTTCCTTGATCTTTTCCCTCAGATAATTCCATTTTTCTGAGATGAATATGACACTAGTCTGTGGCACCAGCCCACTCTGTGGGATACAAATTAACTTTGGCAATGTGCTGTGAGATCTTTCGGTATTTAAACTGCATAGAAATACTCATTATTGCTTGTAGGGCAATTCTATATCCTTGAAGACAATCCTTAGGATCAAATCCTTAGCTACTATAAAAACAGGTACTGCTCGTGGATCCAAGGGCTAATGCAGTTTTTCTCAGCTGAAAGTTAGACCTCCCTCTGGTTATTGTGTCTAATTTGTGTAGTCAGCTCTGCAGGCTTATCACACACTAATTTCGCCTGAGAAAATTTATGCCATCATGGTCAGAGTAATTCCACTGAGGTAGTTACTGTCTTATTATCATATGATTTTTGTGTTGAAGAGAAGGTCGAGTCAGAATTTGCCCCATTCATTTTCAGGATTGGAAGCCACGTACATGTTAATAATCAGAGAAAAAATATTTTAAGTGTTTAAAGTTACTAAATTAGTGAAGAGAACAGCTTAGCTTAATTTCAGAGTTACTGCTGCAGGATGAGATGATCATATCGAAGGAAGAGGCAAAATGTTTTACCTCATAACATGGATTAATCCACTTAGGGATGACAAGAGCAGAACTGCTTTCAGGCAACCACCCACCCATATTGTTGGTTTTTTTTTTTCAGAGTTCTGCACACAGTTTTGTTGAATGCACTGACAAAAACATCTGAAAATAAGATCATGTTTTGTACATGTTTGTTCCATACTATGTTTGTGCAACAATTCTGGGCTGGTAAAAAGTTGACTCAATGTGTGTTGTGAGAAAATCTAGGCTGAATTATTTCACTGGTTTATTTGTGATACATCTGAAATACAGCGATCAATTATATATGTCTAAAATTAGAGCAAACTCTAAGAAAAGAGAAGAGATATAAAAGCAAACATCAAGAACTGTTAATACTTGCATAAAAAGTAGTTAGAGGGGAAGTTAAGTTTGCCATCAAATGAATTAGCTATTCCTATTCAAGCAGCAAATACTTTATATCTAAGTTCCTCTGTTAGTAGAAATACTGGCATACATTAACAGGAAGCATGTGCTATTTTATAAATAAAAAAGTCAATTTTAGAATATTTAATTTCCATTTTTATCAAAGCCATGCACAGGCATGAAATACTGATGATAAGAATTCAAGCATAATGAAAATAACTACTGTAATTCTGAGTAGTTCTGTGAGTAGTAATTGTGACTCTTCATACATAGCAAAAGTAGCCATGATCTATCAAAAGCATTTAATTTTCTTGCCAATTTTTAAGCCAGTTTCAGTAAAGGGGAGAGATTAAGTTAAGGTCTCAAGGTTATAGCAGTGTATTATATACTGTTACAAAGTAGGACTGGAGAGAACCCCAAGAACTTGGCTAATCCAGCCATTTGTCCTGAGGTAGAATAAATATACTCCTTCCTGATAAATATATATACATAGATATATAAATGAGCAATTTATCCTTTAAGACAGTGGTTTCTGTCTGTCCTTTTGACCTGTTTTTCTTTCCTTTGGATCCTCTGCAGCTGGTTAATAACTTCCTAAATTTTGTGTCCAGACTATTTATATACTACTAAATGCATTAAGCCACCTGTGGTCTCAGCAACAAGCACTAGTGTAAGGTTTACACTGTTTTCTCCTGTATGCATACTTTGGATTGAGTTTTGGATGAGGTTTGCCCTTTTGCCAACTACAAATCACCACCCACAGAACTGCCAATAACTGGTTTTGTCTCAGTTTTGTGTGTTTTGGCGACTTTTCTAAGGTGTAAAACCTTGTGCTTTTCTCAGCTGAAATATATCCCGTGATTTTTTCAGGTCATTTTCAGTTCTCAAGTTTCTTAAGGTTGCTTTGAATTGTAAACCAGACCTCTTCCCCTGCAAAGGTGTGATGTGTACGTGGGGTTGTGTCATCCATGGCATGATTAGTGAAAATGTTGACTAGTGCCAGAATCAGGGTATTCCCTTCAGGACTCTGCCTTCTGGTTTGCTGTGAGTTCTTTATAAGTATTCTGTGAGTAGTTTTCTAACCAGCATCATGTCCACCCAATGGCAACTACATCTAGGTCATATTTCCCTAGATTCTTTATAATGATGACACGAGAATCAGTGGCAAAACTCTATCAAGGCCCAGATTTATGACATGTTGCTTTTTCATGTATAGCCCTATAATGCTGAGACAAAGAGAAATTAGAATAATATGACTCAGTTAGTCAACCTTTTTAGCAGAGGCTGATGCAAAAATGGTATTAAATATTTTTTTGTTATCTCCCTACCAATTTATTCAATTATATTCTATCTAAAAATAGAGGGGAACTGTCACGGCAGCACAAATGAGGCATTCTCTGAACTTCAGCAGGCTTGCTACAATTCTTGAAATTGAGAGAAGACAACTGATGACAGTAGGTAGTAAACCTATCAAAAGAAACACATCTTCCCCCTGCTGTCAGTAATCACACACCCACACAGTTCATCTTCTGGGATGTGTGTTCACTTTGCTGTGAATTGCTGAATAGCCACCATTCTATTTTTAACTTCTTTATCCAAACTCCAAAAAAATTATTTCCTCAGTAAGAAAAGTAGGGTTCTGTAGAATAGTTTTTGTCTCATGCTCACCTTCCTGATAAAATGGGTTCATCAAATCACAGAGTGGTTTGGGTTGGAAGGAACCTTAAAGATCATCTAGTTCCAAACCCTGCCATGGGCAGGGATGTCATGTTTGTTCAAGAAAAAGCAATTAAAGGTCACGATTGGAACTGCTGGTTGAAATATATTGCTGAGCTTTGAGTGACTTGGAAGGGGTCCTGTTCACTTTCACTAGATATTCAGCTGGCTGCAGCAGGAGAGCAGGAAGAGAGGTGAGATGGCTCCTTGTGGCTACTGAGTTTGTGGGGGAAGGAAAAGCTTAGCTCTCAAATAAGGCAAGGCAGGGACATCAGTTGGGTCTTTTGGGATCTTTGTCGTTATCTTATATCTACACTGTGTGAAAAGTAGATTATTTTGTGGTTTTGCTTGTACAAGCTCTGAAAAGTTTTTCACATGATCAATCAAAGAATGGTGTTTGTTTCTTCATATCCTACAAAATTGCAGAAAAAGAGTTTTTCTCTTTTCTGCTCTGTAGTTACATGACATATTGCAACCTACAAAGCAGGAAGTGTTAAATAATTTTCAAAGAGAGGTTCTTTGCTCTTGCTTTAATGTATTGTGATATTTTTTGTTGCTTTTCTTTACTTCCTGGTTCCTGTAAGTGGTAAGAATTTTAGTGGCATGGACCTGGCCAGGCATTTGGTTTTAGGGGTCAGGAAAGAAAAAAAAAAAACCAAGGCATGTGAATCTAAGACTTTAGGACAATAATCTTAAGTTTAGATAAAAGTCAAATCTTTAGAGTGAAGCCAGGGACAAAGTTAGGCAAAAGACCAGTTCTTTGGGTTGGGATCTTATTGGCAAGTAATGCACCAGTGAGAGGAGAGTCAAAATCTTCACCAAGTAGTTACTCCACATGTATGCTTAAATGACCTTAAAAGTTCCGTTTCTCCAATGGATAATTACCTGAAACTTAAAAGGGGCTGGAATGAAAAGAAACACTGATCTCACAGGCTACGTCAAGTTGCAAATGGGAGAATGCAAATAACATGAGCCCAGTGCTGGAGAATGCAGCTAAAATAAATAGCCTTCTGGGGAGTTAATTCAGGGAAATTAAAGACAAAAATCTACACCTTTTTTTTTTTTAATAGAAGAAAGAAAATATCAAAAATATAACTGCTTCTTTCATCTAGTCTTAATTTTATTATCTGCTACTGCAACAAAAACTTTTTTGTCTTAGAAGTAATGAAAAAGTAATTTTCTCCTGGTGGACAAAATAAACCTGCAGTCATGTAATAGCATTCATTCAATTTAGATCTTTATTTCACAATTACCATTATGTTGCCTATTTTGATACCAAATCAAATCTGTGCTTAAAAGAATGTGTATCCAATTGTTTTATTTTGTTGCTGTACATGGTTTTAAAGCAGTATGAGGGAAAGGAGAGAAAAGACAAGGTCAGAATTATAGTTTCCTTTGCCCCTTTGTTCCAGTGGATAATGTGTCTCATTGTACCTGAAGCTCATTATGGTTGGCAGATAGCAGGATTCTGTATGTCACAGTTCCCTCATTAAAATGTCATCTTTCTTGTGGTTTCAAGATCCAGGCCTGTGATCTTGAACTCAAACCAGTACTGAAGCTAGGGGCTTGGAAATACCATAGACATCCACCGATCAGCAAACATGCATCAGATCATAAAAAGGTCTCTTCCGTCTGTAGCCCAACTCTTTATTTTTGTTTCATACCTTTCCCATTGTTGTGGTTTAACCCCAGGTGGCAACTCAGCCCCACACAGCTGCTTGCTCACCCCCCCACCTTGGTAAGGGGCAGAAAATAGGAAAAGTAACAGTGAGAATACTTGAGGTAAAGTCAGTTTAGTAGATAAAGCAAAAACTGTGCACATAAGCAAAGCAAAACTAGGAATTCATTCCCCATTTCCCATGGGCAGGCAGGTGTTCAGCCATCCCCAGGACGGCACATAATGGTGACTTGGGAAGGCAAACACCATCACTCTGAATGTCCTCCTTCCCTTCTTCTTCCCCCAGCTTTATGTGCTGAGCATGACCCCGTGTGGTCTGGGGTATCCCTTCGGTCAGTTGGGATCAGCTGTCCCAGCTGTGTCCCCTCCCAGCTCCTTGTGTCCCCCCACCCTGTGCTGGTGGGGTGGGGTGAGGTGCAGATGCGGCCTTGTCTCTGTGTCAGCTCTGGTCAGCAATAACAAAAACATGGTTATTTTATCAACATGGGTTCCAGCACAAATCCCAAAAAGCCCACAGTAACTACTGTTGAGAAAATTAACTACCCCAGCCAAAAAACAGCACACCCAGCAAGCCTATCCTACCGCCGTGAGGAAAGTGTGTCTTGGTCTTCTCTGGTCTATTTAGTTATGTGGGTTTTTTTTAACAAAACAAGAGAAGTAGTCCTCGAAATAGTTCCACCTTCTAAGTCTGTGACTGTAGGGTAATTCTGACCACTGTATGTTGGTTCCTTCCACCCTTAACCATTCTGTGATTCTCTGTGATTCTGTGACTGTGATTATAACATAGGTACATGTTGGGAAACCTGTAATTTTCAGTAATTTATATAAATGAGAAAATTAACCCTGTACCAGTGTGATTCTAGCATAAATAAGATATCTGAAAAGACATGGCTTGAAAAACATCTGTATTACATGTAAGCTGATTGCCTGTTATATTAATTATAAGTAATTCACTGCCTTAACTTTCCATTTTGTTGATGATAGATAATGTTTTATAAACAATAATAAGTCACAAAATATTTACTGTTTAATTGCGGAGTAATTTCAGTGTGTTAATTGTTGCTGCATGTAGTTGTGAATTCCTGGTGGGGACCACTTTTCAGGGAAGGTGCTGGATAAGAACCACAATGGCAGTAGAGCCATCAAGACCAACTGCTTCCCAGGGGTATTATGAAGGGCCAGGACTTCCATGTGGCCACATAATATCTTGGCCCCTGTCTGCTTCCTGGCCAGTGCCTGACACAGGAGGTTTATCTGACCCTTGTCTGGAGAAGGCTGATGATCTTGGTCGTGAAGAAGAACATTAAGTAAAATATTTCTCTCACCATTTTCAGGAGTTTTTGGTAACCTTTTTCACATACTGATTTCTGATGTGTTCACCTGTTTATCTTCTGCAAAGACTGAATATCCATCTTTGAACAATTAAGTCTTTTTTGGCTCTTCAAATGTTAATGTAGAACCTTCTCAGGAGAGAGAACATGCATACCTGAAAGTTCTAGGACAATTAGCCCTTTTCATTGATTATTTCCTACCTAAATCAATACTGCATTTTGTAACTTGCACATATATCATACTTAAAAACACTTAGGTTCCTTAACCCTAAGAAATAGGAGAAACTGTCAGTCATATTTCATTAAGGCTCTTTGGAAGAATTTATTCATCTTTCTCTCGCTATGTTAATATTAATGGTTTCACAAACACCACTGACCCCATCACACTGAGGTAATTTATTTGGCACAGCCAAATGACAGCATACAGATTTTGAAATTTAGAAGTGCTCAAACTCGAGCCGTTGGCTCAGGCCACAGTGGTTTTAAGCTATATATTTAATAATGTACAGTGGTTTTGTTTTAAAAAAGAAAAATACTCTGACATGGATGTTTTACTAATCAAAATATTCTGTGTTTTAGGCCAAGATGACTCAACTGCCAGAGGCTGAAAAGGAAAAGATAGCTGAGCAAGTGGCTGACTTCAAAAAAGTCAAGAGTAAGCTTGATGCCGAGATTGAAATATGGGATGATACCAGCAATGACATAATTGTTCTGGCCAAGAGGATGTGTGTGATTATGATGGAGATGACTGACTTCACAAGGTAATTATGCAAAAAAAGGGTCTTCGATATTTATAAATGTTGGAGGCCATTGTCAAATTGTTCTGGCAGCAAATGTTGAGTTTTTAATATCAGGTGACAGCATCTTTACAAAATGGAGTGGCTAAGCTAATGTAACACACTAGGGAGCAATACTGAAGTGTGGGGAGGGAGTTGGAAGTTTTGAGCTGTGTTTGTCCTTATTTTTTTTTTCTTTGTCCTCTTTTATTAATTTGGTTGGTAGGGTTTTTGCACATCCTTAGCACCCTATTTCTGCTCTCACTTAAAGGGAAAAAAACCAAAATAATCTTGATTTTAGGCAGTAGTTTTGTTGTCATCTGTTTTCTTTCTGCTTGTATCAGACCATGCTGTCAAGCATGAAACACACTATACAGAGCCTACCCGTGGCAGTGCACTTTTATACTCATGCATATTTTATATCACATTACCTGCTCTTGCTTTCATCAGAACTCTATCATGCTGCTATATGTAGTTTTGAAGAATGAAGTGTCCTGTAGCAAAAATAGCTGTCAAAGCTGGCCTTTTTTTCTACTGTCAGTGTATGTTCTATATGCTTGTTTAGCAGGAAACAATCTTAAATTCAGGAGCTTTTTCTGCAATGCACTGAATCAAATGCTCAGTAAATTTCATCAAAGTAATTATACCAAAGGAAGATGGTGATGGTGTTGTCTGCCCCCCTTACCCCCTCCCCAATCAGGTTAGAAGTAAAATAGTTGCTAACAAGTGAAGCCTTAAAACACAACCAGTCCTCCAAGACACTTAATGTCTTATAAAATAAATCCTTTCATGCAAGGTATGAAGAAAAATCTCATCCTCTTAGACAAATTCTTTGGGTGTGTGAATGAGCAGCGTTACATAGGGCTGGACCAGGTAACAAAGCTGGGCTCTACTGTTGGATTGTTCTGGGGAAGACAGCTGTTGCATTTTATCACACTGGCACCTTCCAAATTCACCTTCATGTGAGAGAGATTTAAAGACCTGCATGGGGAACTCTACAACCTTGTTCTTTTTAAGAGTATATGATTTGCACTGGGACCTTTGAAAAAGAACATTCTGTGCCATAAAGCCAATCTTTACAATTAAAGTCACCTCTCTGGCAAAAATTCTTTATATTACCAGCTTTAGATAATCAAAATTAAGAAGGCCAGCTCAAAGCCTTAATTTTATATCTATGGCTCTCAGTTGAACACAGCATAATCTGCAATTTAGAGTCAAAGAGGAGCTCTTGATGAAGTGCTGCTGATATCCAGAGAGTCTGTGGAGAACTCTGAAATTACTCTGCTAAAATAACTTACTTGAAGGTAAAGTTAAAATGTTTTGTGGAGAGAGAATGAAAATCCTAGTCTGCACTTCAGAATATCGTACATTGTTGGAAGAAGGAGTCTGATTATTCTCTTCCAAGTTCTATGGATTGTATTACTCTTTTTACTTCACAGACATTTATATTATAATTTGAGGTATGCAAGTACATACTAGAATATATTCCTATGTTATGTGTTTAATACTCAAGCTGTAGTTTCTTGGAGGGAGGATCATCTTATCAAGTATTTTGTTCAGTGTCGAGGGCCCTTGGCAACAGAAATCAAGGTCACCCTGTAATACACAAATGGTCTTACAAGATACTTTGTATCTTACCTAACTTTGTCTCACACCTTTATATAGCTGGTTTTGAAGACGTCCTTTAGTAATATGGCTTCAAGTTTTGTTTCTTCTTCAATGTCAGATGAAATCTTGTAAAATGGAGATTTGTATCTATCTGAGCAATAGATGAACTTGTTTGCCAAAGGTGGCAGTTAAGTGCCAGCTGGCTTTTTCAATTCCTGCTCTGTAGAAATCTGGGAATAGAATCATAGAATTGTTTAAGCTGGAAAAGTCCCTAAAGATTATCGGGTCCAACCATTAACCCAGCACTGCCTTGCTCTTAGTTAAACCATGCCCACAAGTGCCACATCCACGTGTTTTTTGAACACTTCCAGGAATGGGGATTTCCCCACTTCCCTGGGCAGCCTGTTCCAGTGCTGGACCACCCTTTCAGAGGAGAATTTTTTCCTAATATCTAAAATAAACCTCCACTGGTGCAACTTGAGGCCTTTTCCTCTCATCCTGTCTCTTGTAACCTCGGAGAAGAGACCAACCCCACCTGGCTATATCCTCCTGTCAAGGAGTTGTAGTGAGTGAGAAGATTTTTTCTCCAGGCTGAACTTCCTGTTCCCTTCTCTGGGCACACAAAGGATGTGCAGCAAATACATGTACAGCAAGCACCGGCTCACCTTAGGGTTTGAGCTTTCCAGTCTGTAACTCCAGGTTCTTGAACATGGAAGAAGTAAAAGATTCTGACATTTTGTATTTGTAAAATCAGAAACTACTCAGACAAATAGCTGATTTCTGTTTTTCTTCGAACGGTATTGCATTCATTGTTACTTAATCTCAATGAGAGCTTTTCAAAGTTTTTCAAGGTCAACTTTGCATTTCTGTATTACCCTGACCATTTGTGCAACAGTAATATTTTCAACTAAAACCAAGTTAATATTGGTATCAAAATAACTCATTATTCAGACAGAAGGTAATTGGGAGTGATGATAAATTGTTGATATGTGTAGCTCGTATCATTAATGAAAATACCCCAGGATGACTTCAGTGAAGGCCACTGGTAATCAGTGATTACTCAGTGGAAGTTAGGACTGCTGCAAATTGTAACCATCTGAAGTAGCTCATTATACCTTAACTTCCTTATTTGATTATAGGGCAGATTCTTCTCATTTTTTTGAGTCTTGGCAGAAGGGACCTGCAGAACCTCATTGGAAACAATTCTTTTCCTACTGAACAGTTGTGAGCATGTCCTCTGCAAACAGACACTAGGCCAGACTACTGTAATTATATGAAATACATATTTTTCCAGCTTTTTTAAAAACTTTGTATGTGAAACATGACATAAACTTACTGAAACTTGCTGATGATGAACTGGAAAAGTAATTGAGCAAGAGCAGTAAGGCATTGTTGAAAGTCTGTACCAGCCAGCAGCAGCTGCTCATTGGTATTATGGAGATGATAATCAGGCCTCATTATGGAAAACCGGTTATATTGATTACTGGAGTCTATTCATCTGTTAAAAATTCTATAAAAAACCCACATATTTGCAGTAGTAAGCTTTGGCCCTGACGGGCAGAAGTGGAGGCAGTGGACACCAGGCATTTGCTCTGCTGAAAGTGTGGCTCTCTATTCCTTTTGGACTCCAGCAGACTTGTTTGTTGGGGATAACATACAAAGTTCGTGGCAATTTAATTCTGTTTGCTGAAGGTCATTGCTGCTAGAAAGAAGATAGTTTGGTAGAGGTTTCTTTTCTGACCTTCACTTTTCTGAAAATGAACTGGATTGTACTTTTAGTTTCCTTAGGAGGGCTACAGTGAATGAGGCAAAAAGAACAAGGAGTGTGAAATTGTTCCTGTGTTGCCATGGCTTTAACAGCAAAGACATTCAGTGAAGCTGAGAAACAAATGAGCTATCAGTGGGTCTGCTTATGTTTTCTATCCTCAGCCTGGAGCTGCAGCCCCATCCCTGTCCTTCTCACGGAATTCCATCTCAACTTGGCTCTGCTGGCTTCCCCCATGGCTGACCAGAAACCTGTACTTCTGACACTGGTCTCATGTCAAAATGAGCAAAGCCTGGGAGATGGTTCCTGTGTGACTGTTCCTTCTCATCTTCCTCCTAATATGCAGAAGTGCTTTGTCACTTCTCTGTTCAGACGAGCTAGGTGCTTCCAGAGCACCCAGGATCTATCCAAAGTGCTTGTCTGCACCTCTTCCGAATCTGCCTGCTGTACAGAACTGTACAGAATAGGTTTTTTTGGTTTTCTGATACCTTGAGGATTCACTCAGGATAGCAGGGCATTTGTTTTCTTGGGCTGGAAGGGGTTTAGGCTTACTTTTAAACTTCAAGAGTATTAGGCTAAAAATTATCTGGAATCCTTCTTTCCACAAAGCCATCATGTCTGTAGCCCTCATATGACACACTCTGTAGCCCAGCAATGACGACGTTCCGTAGAGGGCGGAACTCCGTCTTGGCCCAAACTCTGTCAGTGTTGTGAGTGTTGATCTGTGTTATGGAGAAGGGAAACACGATTTCAGTTCTTGGTTCAGCTTTTGAAAGGCTTTAGTTTCTTGGACAAGGATGAGCTAATGAGGATTGCTTTGTCCATAGCTTTTTCCTGTCAGTGATCTTGGATGACTTTGTGTAGGTCCCATTTTGGATTACTGAACTCTCAGGGACAGGGTGTCCCTGACAGTGCAGTGTGTGCAACATGATGGTTGCTGTATATTATTTCAGTGCTGTGATATTCACTTGCTTGCACCTGAAGTACCAAGTACCTTTGTAGTCTGAGGCATCCAACACCTGAAATGCTTTAGCTGTACAAGAACCATTACACACTTGAAAACTCAGTACAGAACTTACACCTACTGGTTTCAAAATGAAAGTTCCTTCTGGTTTTGGGCTTCCACTTATTCCATTGACAGATCTGACCTGCTGTATGGGAACATACAAGTTTAAGGAATAACTTCTGTCTCAGCAATAAATGAGTTTTCTTCCTTTAAACTGAGCTTTTAAGCAAACCTAATTCCTGGCAATAATCTCTATAAACGTAGTGCAGTCAATTAATTTAATTCACTGCTTAGACTTCAGCATATGTGACACTGTGACATTGTATTGATGGGTGGTATCTGAATGAGAGATTAGAAAAGTACTGGCATATAATCAAGAAGACTGCACTGGTGTTTTTCAATGTACAACATGCAGAATTACCTGTAAAAGGAAGGGGGCGTGAAAGAATAGGGATTTGGGTATGTATAAACGTACATGTGTGCTCACATAATTTGAATTTTTTTTCCTTCATTGGGTCCTGTTACATTTTCCTAGTGCAAACACACACATATTCAATCAATGAATATTCATAAGTTTAAAGAGAAGTTATAGCCTTTAATTTTATG